CACTTGACGTTATCACCACCCATCATTACCCCAAAACACTCATCATGAGTCACTTCACCATCATCTCTCCCCGCTCCTCTCACAATAAATTAACATGATAATTTTCACTCAACTCATTACCAAGATAATTCTTCACTCACTACTAACTCTGAGTAACACTTGCAAGCCTGAGTGTACTTTCAGCGTATGTTTGTACCAAGACTTTATGCCAGCTTGAAGACGTATTATTATGAATAACATAAGAACGGACAGTTATTCATTACCACTTACCATGAATTCATTATTATTATTATTATTATTATATTGGGGATGCGCTAAACCCATACGGGTAATACAGTGAAGCTCTGTCAAGTAAATCTCTACATAAAGTGAAATGTTGCATACGCTGTTGTATCCGATCATACGGTGCCTGGGAATGGGAAGCGATCGAGTTTGACCTGATTAAAGAGAGGGGTAGTTCAAATTCCTTGGATGAAGAGCCCATGGATAAGAGATGCAGAGAAGAAGTAGGTACCGTGCTGATGTAAACATGACTGCCGGGGAATACTGGCCAGAAGTGTTCTTGTGTTGTAATGAGAGACTGTCTTGCCTGACGGAGTCGCTTCACCGACCACATCATCCAGGGTCTTGGGGCGTGTAATAGTGAGTGGGTCTTCAGTTGCCCAGGACCCCCCGGGGGGGCTGCCATTACTGACATTACCCTCGTCAGTTCCGCCACCACACACACACACACACACCCTCCTCCCTGAGAGGCTCCCCCAGGGGCACAGGTATTCGCTTTCTCTAGGGAGCCCCCCAGAGTGGGATTTGTGCCCATTCAGCCTCGTGACCCACACAAGTATTCCACTGTCATCTTGCTTGAACTAATTCAAGTGTGTTATGGAGGAGGGAGCGCTCAAGCAACACGCTTTATGACTGTGTTGGTCACGCTCTTGTGGTGAGTACGGTGACCAGTACCACAGGTGGACGCCTGTTCTCAGATTCCCTAGAAGCCTCTACAAGTAACTGGTAGGTGCGATGAGTAGGGTGACCAGTGCCACAGGTGTCAGCAGCAGGCACTCAGCTACCACACAACGGGACAAGCTGGCACTTTCTCACACACACATCCAGATCATGTCTCTCTTAGTCTTGGCGCTTGTAGACGATAACACCAGTTGACAGGTCTCCCACGCTCCTACTATCTCAACTTCTTGTCTTAGCGAAGGTAGCAGTGACAAGAAAAGAAACAGTGTATCCCCAAATATGTCTTACACTGTAATATAATACAGTAATACATAATAGCATTAACATTCATGAACAACTAAGCACGTTGCAACTAAAATTCGTACCATTTTATGTAGAGTTGTTAAGGATGGAATTAATATTGCCAATGTTGTGTCAACTATTTGGACTTTAATGTATTGTTACTACGGTGGTAGGTTCTCTCACAGGATGAGTAACGCTGACCAGTAATGCCCAGTAAACCAAGCTCTCGGGGCAAAATCTGAATCCATTTAAAAAATTACCCATCTTAAAAAATATGAGTATACGCCTTTAGCGTTGGCATCCTTACTTCAAGTACTACTATATCATAATTCTTAAAGTGTACTTTAGTGACACCTCTCCTTGGAGTGGTGAGGCAACACACTCAAGAAGAGAGAGACCGACTGGGTGAGGACTTACCTTCCTGCCAGGTGGTGCATGAAAGAGAAGGAGAGGATAACTATGACCAAGTGTTTGATCTGTCTCTCTGAGTCATGTCAGACTTGCAGTCCACTACAATATCTTGTAGGCCACATACACACCTTGGTGGCCATATACACCGTCTTGGTAGCCACATACACACCTTGGTGACCTATCACACTCACGCACCACCTAGTTGGTCACACAAACTTCACTGGTGGTCACAAGTTACACCACCGACCAGACACTCATAAAGTCATTAGGTTAATTTGAAAACATGAAACTCTACATCATTGTTAGTGATAAAACATTATGGCAACGGTATTTAACCTGTGGGTAAATAGTGTCCAGGGGTAATTAACCCACGGGGTGGGGGAGAATTTTTGCTTTCTTTATTCCGAGGATAACTAGCTGGAGATATTATTATTTAAATGGGACGTGTTAATTACATTTTGTTAGCTAACTCTAGAAGTAATAGTGCAAAAGAAGTTAAATACCCTTGCCCAGTGGTATAGTGTTCTAATGGGTTGCCTGAGGCACCCTGTCAGACCTACAGAAGACCTACTACATAGTACCTACAGAAGAACTAGTTGCAAGGACCTACAGGATTTCTAGAGATCTACAAGATGAATCACAGAGTACTCACCTGTGTCGAGCAGCGTGGATCTCTGCGTGTGTGGGTCGTGGAGTGGGTATGGTATGGTGGGAGGGGGCTGGGTATCTCGCTGTGCCTGGGAGAGGTCGACGGGGCGGTGGGCGCCGGGGTGGTGCGAGGTGGGCGGCAGCGAGCCTGTGGTGGTGGTCTGAGGTACGGAGGATGGGGGGTAGCCGGCCACGGGCGTACCACCGTGACCATTGACACCACCCAACTCCGTCATGACACCATCATTCTACACGTCAGAGGGAAACACAGATATCTTTAATTCAATGTTAACTGTCACATACAACACTCACACAACACTGTCCATCTATACAATTTTGCTAAATTAAAACAAAATCTTTCTGCACACAACACAACACTGAGGCAACACTCACACAACACAACACTGAGGCAACACTCACACAACACAACACTGAGGCAACACTCACACATCACAACACTGAGGCAACACTCACACAACACAAAACACTGAGGCAACACTCACACAACACAACACTGAGGCAACACTCACACAACACAACACTGAGGCAACACTCACACATCACAACACTGAGGCAACATCACACAACACAACACTGAGGCAACACTCACACAACACAACACTGAGGCAACACTCACACAACACAACACTGAGGCAACACTCACACAACACAACACTGAGGCAACACTCACACAACACAACACTGAGGCAACCTCACACATCACAACACTGAGGCAACACTCACACAACACAACACTGAGGCAACACTCACACAACACAACACTGAGGCAACACTCACACAACACAACACTGAGGCAACACTCACACATCACAACACTGAGGCAACACTCACACAACACAACACTGAGGCAACACTCACACAACACAACACTGAGGCAACACTCACTGACAACACCAAAACACTGAGGCAACACTACACACACAACACTGAGGCAACACTCACACAACACGTGAGGCAACACTCACACAACAACAACACTGAGGCTAACACTCAACAAACAAACACTGAGGCAACACTCACACAACACAACACTGAGGCAACCCACACACACACAACACAACACTGAGGCAACACTCACACAACACAACACTGAGGCAACACTCACACAACACAACACTGAGGCAACACTCACACAAACACTGAGGCAACACTCCCAACACAACACTGAGGCAACTCACACATCACAACACTGAGGCAACACTCCACAAACACAACACTGAGGCAACACTCACACAACACAACACTGAGGCAACACTCACACAACACAACATGAGGCAACACTCACACATCACAACACTGAGGCAACACTCACCCCAACACTGAGCAACACTCACACAACACAACACTGAGGCAACACTCACACAACACAACAGTGAGGCAACATTCACACAACACAACACTGAGGCAACACTCACACATCACAACACTGAGGCAACATTCACACAACACACACTGAGGCAACACTCACACAACACAACACTGAGGCAACACTCACACAACACAACACTGAGGCAACACTCACACAACACAACACTGAGGCAACACTCACACAACACAACACTGAGGCAACACTCACACAACACTGAGGCAACATTCACACAACACAACACTGAGGCAACACTCACACAACACAACACTGAGGCAACACTCACACAACACAACACTGAGGCAAATCCACACATCACAACACTGAGGCAACACTCACACAACACAACACTGAGAAACACTCACACAACACTGAGGCAACACTCCACAACACAACAGTGAGGCAACACTCACACAACACAACAGTGAGGCAACACTCACACATCACAACACTGAGGCAACACTCACACATCACAACACTGAGGCAACACTCACACATCACAACACTGAGGCAATACTCACACAACACAACACTGAGGTAACACTCACACAACACATGAGGCAACACTCACAACACAACATGAGGCAACACTCACACAACACAACAGTGAGGCAACACTCACACATCACAACACTGAGGCAACACTCACACACACAACACTGAGGCAACACTCACACAACACAACACTGAGGCAACACTCACACAACACAACATGAGGCAACACTCACACATCACAACACTGAGGCAACACTCACACAACACAACACTGAGGCAACACTCACAAACACAACACTGAGGCAACACTCACACAACACAACACTGAGGCAACACTCACACAACACAAACACTGAGGCAACACTCACACAACACAACACTGAGGCAACACTCACACAACACAACACTGAGGCAACACTCACACACAAAACAACACTGAGGCAACACTCACACAACACAACACTGAGGCAACACTCACACAACACAACACTGAGGCAACACTCACACAACACAACACCGAGGCAACACCCACACAACACAACACTGAGGCAACACTCACACAACACAACACTGAGGCAACACTCACACAACACAACACTGAGGCAACACTCACACAACACAACACTGAGGCAACACTCACACAACACAAACATGAGGCAACACTCACACAACACAACACTGAGGCAACACTCACACAACAACACTGAGCAACATCACACAACACAACACTGAGGCAACACTCACACAACACAACACTGAGGCAACACTCACACAACACAACACTGAGGCAACACTCACACACAACACTGAGGCAAACTCACCCCAACACAACACTGAGGCAAACCCCACAACACAACACTGAGGCAACACTCCCCACACAACACTGAGGCAACACTCACACAACACAACAGTGAGGCAACACTCACACAACACAACACTGAGGCAACACTCACACAACACAACACTGAGGCAACACTCACACATCACAACACTGAGGCAACACTCACACAACACAACACTGAGGCAAACACTCACACAACACTGAGGCAACACTCCACAACCAACATGAGGCAACACTCACACAACACAACAGTGAGGCAACACTCACACAACACAACACTGAGGCAACACTCACACATCACAACACTGAGGCAACACTCACACAACACAACACTGAGGCAACACTCACACAACACAACAGTGAGGCAACACTCACACAACACAACACTGAGGCAACACTCACACATCACAACACTGAGGCAACACTCACACACACACAACACTGAGGCAACACTCACACAACACAACACGAGGCAACACTCACACAACAAAACACTGAGGCAACACTCACACAACACAACACTGAGGCAACACTCACACAACACAACACTGAGGCAACACTCACCCCAACACAACACTGAGGCAACACTCACACAACACAACACTGAGGCAACACTCCACACAACACAACACTGAGGCAACACTCACACAACACAACACTGAGGCAACACTCACACAACACAACACTGAGGCAAACACTCACACAACACAACACTGAGGCAAACACTCACACAACACAAACAGAGCAAACACTCACACAACACAACACTGAGGCAACACTTGCACAAACACAACAGTGACGGCAACACTTCACTAACCCCAACAGTGAGGCAACACTACACAACACAACAGTGAGGCAACACTCACACAACACAACACTGAGCAACACTCACACAACACAACACTGAGGCAACACTTCACACAACAAACCACTGAGGAAACACTCACACAACACACACTGATGCAACACTCAACAACACAACACTGAGGCAACACTCACACAATCACAACACTGAGGCAACACTTACACAACACAACAGTGAGGCAACACTCACACAACACAACAGTGAGGCAACACTCACACAACACAACACTGAGGCAACACTCACACAACACAACATGAGGCAACACTCACACAACACAACACTGAGGAAACACTCACACAACACAACACTGAGGCAACACTCACACAACACAACACTGAGGCAACACTTGCACAACACAACAGTGAGGCAACACTCACACATCACAACACTGAGGCAACACTCACACATCACAACACTGAGTGCCAACACTCACACAACACAACAGTGAGGCAACACTCACACAACACAACAGTGAGCAACACTCCACACATCACAACACTGAGGCAACACTCACACATCACAACTCTGAGGCAACACTCTCACACAACACAACACTGATGGCAACACTCACACAACACAACACTGAGGCAACACTCACACAACAAAACACTGAGGCAACACTCACACAACACAACACTGAGGCAACACTCACACAACACAACACTGAGGCAACACTCACACAACACAACACTGAGGCAACACTCACACAACCAACACTGAGGCAACACTCACACAACACAACACTGAGGCAACACTCACACAACACAACACTCGAGGCAACACCCACACAACACAACACTGAGGCAACACTCACACATCACAACACTGAGGCAACACTCACACAACACAACACTGAGGCAACACTCACACACACAACACTGAGGGCAACACTCACACAACACAACACTGAGGCAACACTCACACAACACAACACTGAGGCAACACTCAACACAACACTGAGGCAACATTCACACAACACAACACTGAGGCAACACTCACACAACACAACACTGAGGCAACACTCACACAACAACAACACTGAGGCAAAAACTCAACATCACAACAAATGAGGCAATACTCACACAACACAACACTGAGGTAACACTCACACAAACACTGAGGCAACACTCCCACAACACAACAGTGAGGCAACACTCACACAACACAACAGTGAGGCAACACTCACACATCACAAACATGAGGCAACACTCACACATCACAACACTGAGGCAACACTCACACATCACAACACTGAGGCAATACTCACACAACACAACACTGAGGTAACACTCACACAACACTGAGGCAACACTCCCACAACACAACAGTGAGGCAACACTCACACAACACAACAGTGAGGCAACACTCACACATCACAACACTGAGGCAACACTCACACATCACAACACTGAGGCAACACTCACACAACACAACAGTGAGGCAACAAATCACACAAACAACAGTGAGGCAACACTCACACATCACAACACTGAGGCAACACTCACACATCACAACACTGAGGCAACACTCACACAACACAACACTGAGGCAACACTCACACAACACAACACTGAGGCAACACTCACACAACAAAACACTGAGGCAACACTCACACAACACAACACTGAGGCAACACTCACACAACACAACACTGAGGCAACACTCACACAACACAACACTGAGGCAACACTCACACAACACAACACTGAGGCAACACTCACACAACACAACACTGAGGCAACACTACACACAACACAACACCGAGGCAACACCACACAACACAACACTGAGGCAACACTCACACAACACAACACTGAGGCAACACTCACACAACACAACACTGAGGCAAAAACTCACACAACACAACACTGAGGCAACACTCACACAACACAACACTGAGGCAACACTCACACAACACAACAGTGAGGCAACACTCACACAACACAACACTGAGGCAACACTTGCACAACACAACAGTGAGGCAACACTTACACAACACAACAGTGAGGCAACACTTACACAACACAACAGTGAGGCAACACTCACACAACACAACACTGAGGCAACACTCACACAACACAACACTGAGGCAACACTTACACAACACAACACTGAGGAAACACTCACACAACACAACACTGAGGCAACACTCACACAACACAACACTGAGGCAACACTTACACAACACAACACTGAGGCAACCCCTCACACAACACAACACTGAGGCAACACTCACACAACACAACACTGAGGCAACACTCACACAACACAACAGTGAGGCAACACTCACACAACACAACACTGAGGCAAACACTTCACACAAAAAACACTGAGGCAACACTCATCACAACACAACCACTGAGGCAACACTCACAACACAACCTGATGAAACACTCACAACACAACACTAGGCAACACTCACACAACACAACACTGAGGCAACACTCACACAACACAACAGTGAGGCAACACTCACACAACACAACACTGAGGCAACACTCACACAACACAACACTGAGGAAACACTCACCAGCTTCACCTTCAAATTCTCTAAATTAAACCAAGTATTGTTATACAACAACTAAACCAAAAATGTTCATATAAAACTGGACAACGTTTCGCTCAGTGGTTTATGAACAAGAACCCTTGTTCACTGTTCACTCTCAGTCTGGTGCTGCATCAATGTATTAACCTCGAAGACGAACATCTAATTACCTAGTGATCACAACATTAACAACCACAAATTACACTTAGTGAGTCATTTTTGGAGACATTTAATGATGCTTTTAATTAAATAAATTCTGCCGACGGTAATTAAACTCAATGTTATTGTCCGAGTGTACAAGTGTACAGTGCCTCTCAATGTTATTGTCCGAGTGTACAAGTGTACAGTGCCTCTCAATGTTATTGTCCGAGTGTACAAAGTGTACAGTGCCTCTCAATGTTATTGTCCGAGTGTACAAGTGTACAGTGCCTCTCAATGTTATTGTCCGAGTGTACAAGTGTACAGTGCCTCTCAATGTTATTGTCCGAGTGTACAAGTGTACAGTGCCTCTCAATGTTATTGTCCGAGTGTACAACGTGTACATTTGCCTCTCAATGTTTATTGTCAGAGTGTACAAGTGTACAGTGCCTCTCAATGTTATTGTCCGAGTGTACAAGTGTACAGTGCCTCTCAATGTTATTGTCCGAGTGTACAAGTGTACAGTGCCTCTCAATGTTGGTGTCTACTCTATAGTGATGTCTACAGTGGTGTCTATCTGTACAGTGGTGTCTTCCTGTACAGTGGTGTCTACCTGTACAGTGGTGTCTTCCTGTACAGTGGTGTCTACCTGTACAGTGGTATCTACCTGTACAGTGATATCTACCTGTACAGTGATGTCTACAGTGATGTCTACCTCTACAGTGGTGTCTACCTGTACAGTGGTGTCTTCCTGTACAGTGGTGTCTTCCTGTACAGTGGTGTCTACCTGTACAGTGATACTACCTGTACAGTGGTATCTACCTGTACAGTGGTGTCTACAGTGATGTCTACCTGTACAGTGGTGTCTACCTGTACAGTGGTGTCTACCTGTACAGTGGTGTCTTCCTGTACAGTGGTGTCTTCCTGTACAGTGGTGTCTACCTGTACAGTGGTGTCTACCTGTACAGTGGTATCTACCTGTACAGTGGTGTCTACAGTGATGTCTACCTGTACAGTGGTGTCTACCTGTACAGTGGTATCTACTTGTACAGTGATATCTACCTGTACAGTGGTGTCTACCTCTACAGTGATATCTACCTGTACAGTGATATCTACCTGTACAGTGGTGTCTACCTGTACAGTGATATCTACCTGTACAGTGATATCTACCTGTACAGTGGTATCTACCTGTACAGTGGTGTCTACCTGTACAGTGGTATCTACCTGTACATTGGTGTCTTCTACCTGTACAGTGGTGTCTACCTGTACAGTGGTATCTACCTGTACATTGGTATCTACCTGTACAGTGGTGTCTTCTACCTGTACAGTGGTATCTACCTGTACAGTGGTATCTACCTGTACATTGGTGTCTTCTACCTGTACAGTGGTATCTACCTGTACAGTGGTATCTACCTGTACAGTGGTGTCTACTTGTACAGTGGTATCTACCTGTACATTGGTGTCTTCTACCTGTACAGTGGTGTCTACCTGTACAGTGGTGTCTACCTGTACAGTGGTGTCTTCTACCTGTACATTGGTGTCTTCTACCTGTACAGTGGTGTCTACCTGTACAGTGGTGTCTACCTGTACTGTGGTGTCTACTTGTACATTGGTGTCTACAGTACAGTGGTGTCTACCTGTACAGTGGTGTCTACCTGTACAGTGGTGTCTACCTGTATAGTGGTATCTACCTATGCAGTGGTGTCTACCTGTATAGTGGTGTCTACCTGTACAGTGGTGTCTACCTGTACAGTGGTGTCTACTATATAGTGGTGTCTACCTGTACAGTGGTGTCTACTGTACAGTGGTGTCTACCTGTACAGTGGTGTCTACCTGTACAGTGGTGCCTACCTGTACAGTGGTGTCTACCTATACAGTGGTGTCTATTGTACAGTGGTGTCTACCTGTACAGTGGTGTCTACCTGTACAGTGGCGTCTACTATATAGTGGTGTCTACCTGTACAATGGTGTCTACTGTAGTGTCTACAGTGGCGTCTACCTGTACAGCGGCGTCTACTGTATAGTGGTGTCTACCTGTACAGTGGTGTCTACTGTAGTGTCTACCTGTATAGTGGCGTCTACCGTACAGTGGTGTCTACTGTACAGTGGCGTCTACTGTACAGTGGTGTCTACTGTATAGTGGTGTCTACCTGTACAGTGGTGTCTACTGTAGTGTCTACCTGTATAGTGGCGTCTACCGTACAGTGGTGTCTACTGTAGTGTCTACCTGTATAGTGGCGTCTACCGTACAGTGGTGTCTACTGTACAGTGGCGTCTACTGTACAGTGGCGTCTACTGTATAGTGGTGTCTACCTGTACAGTTGTGTCTACCTGTACAGTGAAGCATGGAACCTCCGCCACTCCTTGTTGCTGACTGACCCACACGGGTTTAGCACTTAATATAAATAAACATCAATTGGGTGTCTTTAGTGCCGAAACGTTTCGGCTAGGCAGCAGGCGTCTTCAGTCAAGTACACAGACGACTTCTACACTGCAGACAGGCCAAGAAGTGGAGAAATTTTTTTTTTAGCATTTAGACCCTTAGTCTTAATTTAGACCCTTAGTCTTAATTTAGACCCTTAGTCTTAATTTAGACCCTTAGTCTTAATTTAGACCCTTAGTCTTAATTAATACAAGATGTTCAGCCCCTTATAACTACACACCTTTTATCAAGGTTAAGTGACTACACCTTTTATCAAGGTTGACTACACCTTTTATCAAGGTTAAGTGACTACACCTTTTATCAAGGCTGACTACACCTTTTATCAAGGTTAAGTGAATAAACACCTTACAATTGTGTCTGCACATCTTCCACTGTCTCCAGTACAAACGTCGCCTTTGTATTCGAGTCAAGAGGCCTGAAGTGTATTGCACGGGCGAAATGTTTCGGTGATAAAGCTACCCAGGTGTTGCACACGTGTGTTATTAATGAACTTGATGGTACTGTATGTTATTAATGTAATGATGAATAAATATAAGAGAAATGTACAGATACTGTACAAGTGTGGTTATTAGTACCAGTGTATAGAGGTACCAAGTGTAAACTAGCAGTAAATGATGGAGGTACACAGGAGTGCTAGAGAGTACCTGAGTATAGAAGTGCTGTGCTGGAGGTAGGGGCGAGGGGGCAGCAGTAGAGTAAGACACAAGGCCGTCACTCACCCCAGGCCAGTCTTCCCGACCCTCCAGGCCTGTGTACCCGTACCCCGCACTCTGAAACAAAACATAACACACTGTTAACTCACAAGCAATATATAATAAACAGATGTATATCGGTTCCTGCGCGATCCGAGAAAGGTATCCCCGTATTTCATAACCCGTCCCCTGTCTCTCAAAACACGCGAAAAGAATAGTGCAGGGTGCGGCATAAGCTTCGAATGCAGTTAAATATTAGCGGTGAAGATTTGAAGCAAATCAGAAAAGGTAATCGCAAATTATCAAATGGAAACTAATATTCCAATCTGTTCACTCAAAATGGCAAATTAGGACAGACATTAGGGCCCCATTTATACAGCAGGTTAGGTTCTGGGCTGCTTTAGGGCCCTGCTTACACAGCAGGTTAGGTTCCGGGCTGCTTTAGGGCCCTGCTTACACAGCAGGTTAGGTTCCGGGCTACTGCTGTAAAGCAAAAATTGCTGTAAAGTGAAACATAACCCTTTTATCACTTTGAAATGCATATAAAACACTGAACATTTTAAGACTCATATATGCATTAAGTGAGCAATAAAGCTAGGTCTAAAAAATGCACATACAGTACAAACATTACATGCCTCAAAATAATTTCGTACTTAGCTTACAGTGAGTGGTGAATACATTTATTGTAGGAAGTCTGAGTAACTGAAAACAGCTGCATTAGCAAAACGCCGTGAAGCGAAGCACTATAAAGCGAGGCCCTCCTGTACACACCTCAAAACCAGTTCAAACGTTTTAGCCAAGTTGATAAGACACTTGTGCAACATTTGAGAATCTTTATCGAGGAAACGTTTCGCCACACAGTGGCTTCATCAGTCCAATACAAAGAAGAACGGTGGAAAAAGAGAAGTTTAAGGTAATCACTCCATCAGCCTGGAATTGATGTGTTCGGTCCATGAGCAAAATAACAACGAAATGTTAAGATAAATAAAATTCTGGGAACTACTTAAGTATCCCCCTCGAGGTTACTTAAACCAGAGTAGCAGTCAACCCACACTTGAAAAATAATGTAATATAATGCCAGTTGTAATATAACACCAGGTGTTATCTTAGGTGGAAAGATGACCAGAGAGATCAAGGTGTCATCTTAGGTGGAAAGATAACCAGAGAGATCAAGGTGTTATCTTAGGTGGAAAGATAACCAGAGAGATCAAGGTGTCATCTTAGATGGTAAGATAACCAGAGAGATCAAGGTGTTATCTTAGGTGGAAAGATAACCAGTGAGATCAAGGTGTCATCTTAGATGGTAAGATAACCAGAGAGATCAAGGCGTCATCTTAGGTGGTAAGATGACCAGAGAGATCAAGGTGTTATCTTAGGTGGCAAGATGACCAGAGAGATCAAGGTGTTATCTTAGGTGGTAAGATAACCAGAGAGATCAAGGTGTCCTGGTGGATAACTCACCTGCATAACAAAAACACACACTACCACACTCCACAAGCATTTCCGGACTAGTCACGTGTGTCATATTGTTTGTAACAGTGTGACCTCTCATACCTGACTTCTCAACAGTGTGACGTCTCATACCTGGCTTCTCAACAGTATGACGTTTCATATCTGGCTTCTCAACAGTGTGACGTCTCATACCTGGCTTCTCAGCAGTGTGACGTCTCATACCTGGCTTCTCAACAGTGTGACGTCTCATACAAGGCTTCTCAACAGTGTGACGTCTCATACCAGGCTTCTCAACAGTGTGACGTCTCATACCTGGCTTCTCAACAGTGTGACGTCTCATACCAGGCTTCTCAACAGTGTGACTCTCATACTTGGCTTCTCAACAGTGTGACGTCTCATACCTGGCTTCTCAACAGTGTGACGTCTCATACCAGGCTTCTCAACAGTGTGACGTCTCATACCAGGCTTCTCAACAGTGTGACGTCTCATACCAGGCTTCTCAACAGTGTGACGTCTCATACCAGGCTTCTCAACAGTGTGACTCTCATACTTGGCTTCTCAACAGTGTGACGTCTCATATCAGGCTTCTCAACAGTGTGACGTCTCATACCTGGCTTCTCAACAATGTGACGTCTCATATCAGGCTTCTCAACAGTGTGACGTCTCATACCTGGCTTCTCAACAGTGTGACGTCTCACACCTGGCTTCTCAACAGTATGACGTCTCACACCTGGCTTCTCAACAGTATGACGTCTCATACCTGGCTTCTCAACAGTGTGACGTCTCATACCTGGCTTCTCAACAGTATGACGTCTCACACCTGGCTTCTCAACAGTGTGACGTCTCATACCTGGCTTCTCAACAGTGTGACGTCTCACACCTGGCTTCTCAACAGTGTGACGTCTCACACCTGGCTTCTCAACAGTGTGACGTCTCACACCTGGCTTCTCAACAGTATGACGTCTCACACCTGGCTTCTCAACAGTGTGACGTCTCATACCTGGCTTCTCAATAGTGTGGCGTCTCATACCTGGCTTCTCAACAGTGTGATGTCTCATACCAGGCTTCTCAACAGTGTGACGTCTCACACCTGACTTCTCAACAGTGTGACGTCTCACACCTGGCTTCTCAACAGTGTAACGTCTCACACCTGGCTTCTCAACAGTGTGACGTCCTACACCTGGCTTCTCAACAGTGTGACGTCCTACACCTGGCTTCTCAACAGTGTGACGTCCTACACCTGGCTTCTCAACAGTGTGACGTCCTACACCTGGCTTCTCAACAGTATGACGTCTCACACCTGGCTTCTCAACAGTATGACGTCTCACACCTGGCTTCTCAACTGTATGACGCCCCATACGTCCCACCTGATGTTCTCTGATAAACCCTTCCCCAAAACACACACACACACACACACACACACACACTGGTTCAAATAAAGGGTTAGCGCTAAGAGAACAATCTGGATGTAAACAAAATGAAGTTACGACTCACAGACGGATACATGTATGACACAACAAGGCCACGCAACAAGAATGCCACAAACTGAAGGATGGAGAGACATGTCCCCGAGGGGAAGGAGGAGGAGGAGGAGGGGGAGAGAAGTTCTTGTTTGATATATATATGAAGGTTATTCTATGTACGCAGCTCGGCTTCAAACCTGGCTTCCTGGCTGACTGCTTGTTCAGCCAGGCTGTTGCTGTGACGGCTATGCTGGCACACATAGCCATCACAGCCAGATTAATCTGGCACTTGGCGGAGACAGTGTCCCGTTTCCTCTTGAAAACTTACAAGCTTATTCATGCATTGCTTCTGACATCTGCTGGTAACAAGCTGAAGTCTTGGACCATGCATGTTGATAAGGTGTTCTCTTATTGTGCCCACGGTGTCCCTTCTTTTCACTGGGTCTATTTTACACTTCCCATACTTCTCACTCCAGTACGTTGTTAAGTACATTTATTTAGTTAAAGGTACAGTTATACAAATTATCATACATAGTAACATATATGTAAATTATCTAGGATAACCCAAAAGACAATCAAAGTGACTTATTTCCAGAGTGTGAAGATAAGGAAACAGACTATGATGTAGTTTTGGTATATAAATCATCAGTCATCTCTCTCTTCTCCGTTCCAGTCTGCTTTAAGATCCTCACACTAATTTACATACTTTACTGTACAATATTCCAACAGTAAACAATCTCTGTACCTTTTCTTGATTGGCTCTCTCTCCTGCCTTTAAATAGAAGAGAGAGAGAGAGAGAGAGAGAGAGAGAGAGAGAGAGAGAGAGAGAGAGAGAGAGAGAGAGAGAGAGAGAGAGACTGACTCTCATCTGGTTGTGGGATCTCAGCTGTTAAGAGGCAACAATAACCTTGTTGCAGTGCATCAAAATACCAAGCAACCTCAAAGTAGGTTGCTGACCAGGGTGTTGCTGTCCCAGTATGTAGTGCAGACGGTGACCAGGGTGTTGCTGTCCCAGTATGTAGTGCAGACGGTGACCAGGGTGTTGCTGTCCCAGTATGTAGTGCAGACGGTGACCAGGGTGTTGCTGTCCCAGTATGTAGTGCAGACGGTGACCAGGGTGTTGCTGTCCCAGTATGTAGTGCAGACGGTGACCAGGGTGTTGCTGTCCCAGTATGTAGTGCAGACGGTGACCAGGGTGTTGCTGTCCCAGTATGTAGTGCAGACGGTGACCAGGGTGTTGCTGTCCCAGTATGTAGTGCAGACGGTGACCAGGGTGTTGCTGTCCCAGTATGTAGTGCAGACGGTGACCAGGGTGTTGCTGTCCCAGTATGTAGTGCAGACGGTGACCAGGGTGTTGCTGTCCCAGTATGTAGTGCAGACGGTGACCAGGGTGTTGCTGTCCCAGTATGTAGTGCAGACGGTGACCAGGGTGTTGCTGTCCCAGTATGTAGTGCAGACGGTGACCAGGGTGTTGCTGTCCCAGTATGTAGTGCAGACGGTGACCAGGGTGTTGCTGTCCCAGTATGTAGTGCAGACGGTGACCAGGGTGTTGCTGTCCCAGTATGTAGTGCAGACGGTGACCAGGGTGTTGCTGTCCCAGTATGTAGTGCAGACGGTGACCAGGGTGTTGCTGTCCCAGTATGTAGTGCAGACGGTGACCAGGGTGTTGCTGTCCCAGTATGTAGTGCAGACGGTGACCAGGGTGTTGCTGTCCCAGTATGTAGTGCAGACGGTGACCAGGGTGTTGTATGTAGTCCAGGTGGTGAAGGCTGCTTGGTGACAAGAAGCGACTGCCTCTCACCGGATGTTCATAATATAAGAGGAAGGAAGGGGGGCGAGACGCAAAGACCTGACTCATCTCTGACTGGGGATGATAGTGAAGTGGAGCACACCAAGCAGGTGGAACACGCTGAGCAGGTGGAACACACTGAGCAGGTGGAGCACACGGGGCAGGTGGTGGACAAACGCCCCTACATACCTCTGGTAAGGTAGAGGAACCAGGCCAGACATAATTACTCGCCCAGATGACACAACTTGAGAGGCTGCAGAGTAAGATGTGTTCAAGACAGACTCATGGAACAAGTGTTCAAGACAGACTCATGGAACAAGTGTTCAAGACAGACTCATGGAACAAGTGTTCAAGACAGACTCAAGGAACAAGT